GTGTTTTACCTTTTGAGATCCTCGGTTTTGGACTTGAGCAAAAAGGGAGTTTAAACATCCTTCATATGACGAATAGCACGATTTATTTTTCAGTTTTTATTAGAAGCTCAATTAGATCATCTTTGATGTCTTAATTCAATGTACTTCCTGTCTGCAGGTTGTCCCAGGATTTGGTCATGGAGTGCTGCGTAAAACTGATCCGAGATACATGTGTCAGAGGGAGTTTGCATTAAAGCACTTGCCTGATGATCCCTTATTCAAGCTGGTTCTCACTTATGCCTTGATGATTGAGTGTTAATGATTTTCATTTGTCTGCTACGGTTTTCACTTTTAGTTTGTTGCTAAGGTGACATCATTTTCATCATTGCAGGTTTCGCAACTTTATGAGGTGGTACCTCCTATTCTTACTGAGTTAGGCAAGGTAATTTCTGATTTACTTTCTGCATGTTTTAACACATCAAAAAAGAACGGCCTTGAATGCAGTGGTAAAGTTCAGAAGACCGCGTAAATCTGTTGTTAACAGATAGAATCTGGAACCATTGCTGGCTTGGTTTATTATTTGAAATGAATAGTATAATTTAGAAAATATGTTAAGGTAGGAGTCCTCATCTTCTCGCGGATGTAGTCATTAAAGCATATGTTACTTGAATTCGGATGAGTTTCAGGTACTGCCATCCGGCTGTGTTTGGCATGAATATGTTTTTAATTTATATAGTTGAAGGGTCATACCTCCATACCCTTACCCGTTGGGCATGGGTTCTTCAACTAAACTTACGATTTTGACCTATTATATTTGGTTTTGTTGACATTGGTTCTGGGATGCTTTGTAGGTTAAAAACCCCTGGCCCAATGTTGATGCACACAGTGGAGTGCTGCTGAACCATTTTGGTTTGACTGAAGCAAGGTACCATCTGAAGCTTTTCTTTCATATAGTATGAACATTTATTAGTCTTCATTCTTTGGGAAGCATGAATAGTGTTGCTAGTGGTGTAGAAATTCTTCATTTTCCCAAGGATAAAGTATTTTTTGAACTTCATGCGCAGATACTATACCGTTCTTTTTGGTGTATCAAGGAGTATTGGAATTTGCTCTCAGGTTTGTTTCTTGCTGCAATATTTCATCTGCGTTTCTGTGAACCGCCAGGTGTTGCTTTGTATTTAAATATTTTGTTTTTTGTGGGTTCAGCTTATATGGGACCGAGCACTAGGATTGCCCCTCGAAAGGCCAAAAAGTGTTACAATGGATTGGCTAGAAATTTACTGCAAGAAAGCAAAAGCAGCTTAAAGTTGGTGGATAAACTTTTTTTTTTTTGGATAATACTAAATAAACCACCCACAAGGCTTAGTTTTGTAGCTGTTACATTTTTCTATTTGTTTGCTGGGAAAATTACTAGAAAAATAATTATTTGTTCAGTAGTTGAGCTAATTCTATCAAATTTACCAAATTTTAAGCTTGGTTCTAAGAAATAAACTTCACCGTTTCTGGTTCTACCATGTTCTGTATTATGGACCACGATTAATTGAAATTTTGGTTTATAAAATGGTTTGGTTGATTTGATACGTAGAGAAATTACGGTTAAAGACCCTAATTAAGAAAAATCAGTTTATTTATGATTTTGAACATGAGCGTAATATGATTAAACCTGTAAAAATATGAGATGAGCAACGCAAAACATGGTTAAGATTGTAAAGAAGAGATTAATCTTCATATATCTCCCGCCAATCTTTTACGCAAAACATAAGCTCAATGATGGTAGTGAAGTTGAGCAGGAGAGGAAATTTTCTAATGCACAGCTGCCCTCTGCTCCACTTGCATGGATATTGAGAATCGTGTTGTGTCCCTCTGCTTTTTATCATTGTCGTGTGTATATATAGGCACAATAAAATATGGAAGTGAAACATGCAATTATGAAAATCTCTTGGTCTCACTGCTCGTATCCATGGTTGCCTCAGAAATCTACAAAATGCTGCAAATTAGGGTACTCGTACAAATCTTGCCCAAGCGAAGCTATAGTCTGGATCCCTAACCAATGAGTGAAATGAAACCGTGGAGGTGCACGGGGAGGTGGAAATTACCCCTGAAAAGCTTGCCTCATAAATATCTTTTTTGAATCAATTCCTGATGTTGATACAAAACTTGAGGACACCGGTTATCTATGCCAAAAAGAAAATTTGAGGGAGTCGCTTGCCCTCCTCAATTAACAATTTTAATTTTAAAAGGGAAAACTATGTGTGATCACTAATGTCTGAGTAAATTTTCGTTTTTACCATTGATGTTTCAAAAGTCACAAATCGGCCACTAACGTTAGCGTTTGTTACAAATTGGTCACTCGACGTTAACAACTGTTACTGTGGGTGACGAAAAGCTGACATGGAATGTTAACTGCTGATTTGGCACCGTTTGACCATTATTTTGACCCACCCTTTTCTTCCATCTCCATTCTCTCATCTCCATACTTCTTTTTAACTCAAAATCCACCATTTTCATTTGACTTTCTTCTTCGATCTTCATCTTCATGCTATGGTAAAACAAAAAAGCCGCCCATCCCACATCTGTCATTGTCTCGTGCAAAGCTCCATACTTATCCAATATCTCTGCATCTCTGAAATCGAAATACGAGTTCCATACTTATCCATGGAAGATTCCAAAGTCAAGGCATGTTTGGCTGTTCTTGCTGATCACTTGGCAGCTCTTGATTGCTCCTCCACCAACCTGAATTCCTCCCTCCTCGGCCCAAGCTGCGTGTCAGCTCAGGCCGCCCCTTGCTCTACCGATTTTATGGAAGAGGAACTAAAAACAATTCAATGAGTTCTGCAATAACTCGACTTCATCATACCCTGGATTGGAACTGAAATGGTAGCATCTATGAAACGGAAAGCAAAAGTGAGTGCATCTTCCGATCATCCCTGTAACCAACATTATCAACTTTTACTCTTGTCGAACAAAATTAAGAAAGAAGGGAATTTAATAGGAAAATTATCACAGTTATAATTGTAAAACCAAAGACAAAGTGCTAGCAGTAGTACACAATGTTAAGCTTCCAGGCAAGAACCAGTAGATTATAGTAGAGATACCCAACTTAAATATAAAGCCGCAGAAAACTAAAGACTTAATTGATAGGACCATGTACTCCCATTTTCTTTAGACCACTATCAACAACAGACATAACACGTGAACAGAAAAATCCAGGCAAAAACAATGGAAAAAATGAATATAAAGCTGCAGAAAATTAAAGACTTATCTGATAAGACCACTTACTCCCCATTATCTTTAAACCACTACTAACAACAGAGATAACATGTCAACGGAAAAATAAGGGGCAAAAACAATGGAAAGAAATTAAAAATACAATGAACTTGGGCTCTAATTCTATATTAATTATCCATCCTAAAACTAACTGGCCATGGTGGAGAGACCAACTTGAATGCAAGCACCACAAACTCAAAAATTAACTGATATGGGATAAAACCACTTAAGGAATAAACACCAGAATATGTAGCCTGTATAAAATAAAATCAATTTGATATTGATTTTTTGCTCTAGTTAAGATGAAAATAGTGTTGCACATTACCTATGATTGCAATTCTTGGGACAAGTAAAACAAAAGAAACCCATAAAGTGAAAGTAGTATTCAACACTAAGAATATTACACGTACACATCAAAAGAAATATGCCAACTTAAGGGAATAAATAACACAATTTATATCCTCCTAACTCATTGTACATTTCCCATGACTTGATTATGATTGAATATAGGAGAACAATATTGAATAAAATACATGTCTTTTGAACATCTATTCTTACTAACTCACAAGAGGAATGCAAAGAGATCCATTATTTATTTAAATGACAAGCCAAAACAATGAAAAACTAAATTCCAGTTGGATTTTGTTCAAGCATACAAGGAGATAATTACAAATGGATATAAAACAGTAAATCCTATCAATTGGCTCGATGAAAAGGGAGAAAGGAGGAAAAAGGATACACACACATACACTGGACAAAAAGGGTAACCCAGATATGAAAATGCAGTAGCAAAGTAAAGATGAACATTGGAAACTATTAACGGATCCTTATAATGAGTATTATAATAAGACTCCAATTACTTGCCTCTTTTCATTTGTAGGAACCTTGCTTGCAAGCCTGCCAGTTTGCGTGGCATCTGCTGATGCAGCCTCCCTGAGGTTGCTCGAAGAATCTCGCATAAGAGTTGTTGGCATTCACTCTATACATAATGCAATAGTGTTGATAAATGAAGATATAAAGTTCAAGTAACTATGCCAAAATCACTACCCAAAAGAAACTGTCATTGTCAAAATAATGGTCAAACGGTGCCAAATCAGCAGTTAACATACCATGTCAGCTTTCCGTCACCCACAGTAATAGTTGTTAACATCGAGTGACCAATTTGTAACAAACGATAACGTTAGTGACCAATTTGTGACTTTTAAACCATCAATGGTGAAAACAAAAACTTAAACACTAGTGACTATTTGCGTAGTTTACCCTTTTAAATATTACATATTTATATAAATTTAAACAATTACTCTCTCATTTCATATAAATTTCGATACAATCATTCAAGTGATGCATTTTTATTATCATTTTATATTTTAATTATCTTTCACTACTTTACCATGATTTATTCTTTAACATGAATTATTATATATCTATAAATATTTAGGATCGGTCGAAATGTCTTGAACAACTTAACGTTGTACATAAACTGGTAAACAAAGCAAACCCCCGCATAAATGAAAAAATGTCAGACTCGGGCTATCATTATATTGCTAACTCAGTTATCAACAACCTACATTAAAGAAATCGTAATTTTTGAGAATAGCAAAACTCATGCACTTCTAGCTATGCGGTTAAATCCACATTAAAGGAATAAAAAAGCATTCGGATGTACAGAAAATATAAAAAAAATGGAACAGATCAACTAAGGTCGTAAAGCTTCTAAACAAGAATTTTTCTGTTCGGAAGATAAATAACTTCACCGAAATATAATATGACATTAATGTGCCCATATCTTAACATACCAACATGAAGAGGAAACATATAAAGCATATAGAGAATAGCTCCAGCACAAGGTTTAATAATAATCAAACTTGAAGCAAGTCCATTTTATGTCGGTACAAAGCTTATTACAGTAATCTACAGACAAACTGAAACTTGACAATGTCCAAACATTGTTCTTTCCATTGAGCATCCACCCGCAATATTTGACTGTCTGATGAAAATCAGTTTGAAGTGCATGTGTATCAGCAAAATTCAAGAGAATAGAACATTTACGATTATCTTTCACATACACCATCACAGGATATCAATAATAATACCCAAGTACATTTGATAACAATCGAAGTGCACCTTAGAAAGATAAAAAAATATGGAAAAGAAAATAAAAGAAACTGAACTTTCAATAGGATTATCATGATCAACCCCCCCCCCTTTTTCAGTTTTTCCGTAAACTTAATGAACACAACCTTTTATTGGCATCACCTTCCCTGGAGAACCTAAATCCTTGTATATAATAACCTAAATATTTTATCATATTTTTAAAAAGGTACATCGTTTTAGGTAAATATGAGGTATAGGAATCTAAATTGTTTCTTGGTGACACATAGCATTCCTAAATTTATCTTATACGGTTATCTTGGCATGCCTTTCTCCAAGTTCTCTGTCCTATTTTAGTTAATGATCAGCAACTGTCTTTACACAATAAAGTGCCTATTACTACCGAATTGCTACAATCAATAAAAGCCATAACCCAGTATAAATAGTCTTTTAGACAAATACCACTTGGACACTATGGTTAAGATGATCAACAAAACCTAAATCCCAGTTTATTTCCCTCCAATTTCCATTTAACATCAATTCTAGCTCGCTCTGGATTTTTTTAGTGTTCTTATTTTGTCCTTTTATTCTGTCTAGTTCATCACTAAACTTGGGCTGCACTTCAAGGGGTTCTATCATAATAGAATTTTGATGCTCTACATGTAACAATTGAATTCCGAGATGGAAAATGTGACAATTTGAAGACCAAATATGAAAATAAAAACAACAGAAGATATGACAATTTACACTTTACTTTCTCAATCCACAAAAAGGGTCTGTGCTACATAGTGGCAAAGTGGGCAATTTTCATCCATTGCCCATAAAAAGTTTTGATAGCAAGATAACATTGTTTCATCTATTTATGGAAGATGAAAATTGCTACTACTGAAAATTATGAAAGGTCAGGGAAGAAAATGAGTTTTTGGTGCAAGACAGGCAGGCTTCGGTGTAATTAACCCTAATTAGGATGATAATAATCTCACTCTTATACTAACTGGTAATAAGCTTTACAGTACACTAACAGATATCTCAGATCAGCCATCTGAAGGATACGTTTATACAGCAGTTTCAAACAACACTGGGGAAATAGTAGTGACTTTTGAGAACAAGATTGGAGTGAATGTCCTCAATGACGAACATACCAGACAATGCATTCCGTGAATTAATGATGTGATACATCTTACATAAATGATACAATGTTAGTAGAAGCAATACTTGCAGCACACTACCCGTTGCAGCTGTTGATTCCCCTATTCAGATTCCAAAACCACTCTAGACCCCAAAATGTAAGCATCAAAGTCATTCTCTAAGTTAAAGGTGACAGAAAATAAAAGAATAATGGATTGGCAAGATATTAGTAATTACTAAACCATATTTCCGCACACCATAAAGTCAGCCTTACATATTTGCAATATCCTAATGCCCTAAAATCTTAAAATAAAAAAGAAAAATCAAATCAAGATTAAAATTTTTAAAAATGAAAGGAATTCAATTATAATTGGTTTCAAACTAGAATGGGGAGATATTTCATTTCTTTTCCACATCCAAATGTGAATACTGAAAAAATATATATCTTTCATCTAAAGATAAAAACCCAAATCTAGATAACAATTTTGATCACAAAACAGAAATGATAAGAGCATCAGAGTTAAATCTAGTGAGTAGACCTGATCTGATCCCAAAATATAATGAAAGAGAGAAAAAAGAAAGACCTGATCTCAATGAGAGTGAGAAGAAGATTGTTGTTGATGATGATGAGAAGAGGAAGGAGCATAAACCCTGTTGTAGACCTGCTCCCCGACAAGATAAATGCCAAAGGCGACGAGGGCGATGCCTAGTCCAGGGGTGGCGTGGCGGAGCTGGTTGCTAAGCATCGGGTGCTTCCTCCACTCGTCCCTCCTCTTGAAGAATTCCCCTGTTGGTCCAAGCGTCTTCCCCATTTGCTCAAGTCTGCTGTGTTCGGCGTTTTCAGATTTTGGGCTACCCACTGCCCTCCCCCTCGATTATGTCACTCTTATATATTGGGTTACTTCCCAACTCTGCATTATTCGGTTATCACTAATGGCTCAAAATATTGGACCGGATTGACTAATTCACCTATGGTTCAATGAGAGCCCAAAACTATTGGTGAAATGGCTACACAAGTCCTTTTATTCAAATTACTGTTTTACAATTTGTTCCAAAATATTTATAAAAATCGATAATAAAAAAATAGTAAAAACTCATACCAAACAATTGTTTTTTAAAATAATATTTAATTGTTTTTAAAAAAAAATGGTTATGACAAGCTGAATTGTGGGTTATATGTAAATTGTAAGATCACTTGAAAAGTTTTCTATAAATGGGACTCCCTTTCCCTTGCCTAATATTGAACTTATGGCCTTTTTATGGATACGAGTTCTAAAACAGTCTCAACTTATTTCATACTACTCTGCAGTTGTTGGATAAACTATTAGGTTAAATGAGTTGTGAAATGTGAAACTTAAGCTTCCTGCTCATGCCGGAAGTATCGAGAACAATCTCCTACATTATCAATCCCACAAATGGCATTAAGAATTGCAATTTCAAGTTCCCATGAATGGAACACATATGGGCTATTTTGCTTTCTTCTTTCTTTCCTCAATTTCCTATGAAAAATCAGCATCCAGATCCTTCCACTGCCAAAATACACAACCCCAAACTTGCGATATTCAAATGTAAAATCATCGAAACAATGTTAAAATACATACGTACTAGATAGTATTACACCAGTAAATACGTGATGACGCTGTCAAGTAAGGATGACTATTTGAGTTAAAAAATATTAACCTATTTGAGTTAATTAGTTTCATTTTATAATTTAAATTTGATTTAAATTTTTTTTTGAGTCAAGTCGATTTTTCGAGTTTCTGTTTAAATGTAATTGTAAATACTTATAATATTATGATACTATTTTAGTTCAATTTAAATGATTTTTATAATCATATACAATACATATATATTTATTCATTCTTTTTCGATATGTGATATATATATATATATATCATACAAAGTCGATAGATTCGACTCAAACTTAAAATTAAGTCCACTAATTACTAAAAATTTTAAGTTATTCAAGTTATATTTTATAACTCGATTTGAACTTGAATTTTTTTTAAACAATCGAGTTTATAAAATTAAAACTTAAAGTCAATCAAAATTGAGTTAAAATTAATTTTTTAAATTAAGTTGAATAAAAAAATCTATTTTCGAGTAGAGTCAAATTTTATCAATTCAATACCAAGCATTGTGATTATTGAAAAAAGAAAATGGGAGCCAAGTGTCAGTCTCTAAGAACACGACTACCAATTTGTTTCTTGTTATTTATTTGTGGACCCCAAGTCATGGGTCTAGAGAATAAGACAAACAGTTGTATACAAGTCGTATCAACCTACTCTCATCATATTAAAATTAAATAAAGAGTCGATGTTGTTTAGTGGGTCCCCTCCTCAATCTCATCCTTATCTCCTCTCTTTTGGACGTGTTTATATGTCCGCTCTTCAATCTTCTATTGCCGATATTCAACACCATTGATCTAACCTAATTAAATTGTAGGTAACTTACATGGATGACTATCAAACTTTTAAGGTATTTTTATTTTGATCAATAAATTTTTAAAATTTTCATTATAATCACTAAAATTTGAACTCAATTTCATTACAATCACTATCATTACTTGTCTTTAATAAAAACTAACATGATATGTTAAAATCTACTTCACATAAATAAGGTTCTAAATTGGCAACCTCCGTAAAGATCACTTTTTTATGGATTTCAGTCGATGGCAATCTCAACAATAAGAATGCTTTGTTTAAAAAGAAGATTAACATAATTTGGGTTTAAGTTAATTCGATGATTGATAGTGATAGATAAAAAATAGCTTTTAAATGTGATTAAGATTTAAGAAGATTGAGAGATTTTTTGACAGGTTTAAACTAAAGAAAAGAGAAAAAAAATACTAATTTAATGTTCTTTTAGGGTTTTTTAACATACTACATCAAATTTCGTTTATAATTTAATGATTCATTGACAAAATAAAAGTTTTTATTAACAGTAATAACTTCAACAAAAGATTTTCGAGTTTGAAAATCTAAATGAAGGTCTACTGTAGGTCACCTTAATTTTAGTGTAGGTTAATTAGGTGTAGACTCGTATATATTTGGCAATAGCCAAAAATCCATCTTCGTTGTGGAAAGAGGGAGAAAAGATATTTTCAGCTAAAACTCCCATACATGTTATAGGACCAAATAGATCCCACCCATCAAAAACATCACAGAGAAGAGAAAGCAAAAAGAGAGAAAAATGGTTCTGCTAGATAAAATGTGGGACGATGTTCTAGCTGGGCCTCAACCCGAGCGTGGCCTCGGCAAGCTTAGGAAGATCACCACCCAGCCCTTGTCCTTCAAAGGTAAAATGATCGGAGTATTAATATGCATGGATTTGATTAGTTTTGGTGAGTCTCTGACTGGCAGAGAGAGTTAATATATACTATATGTTTTGGTTAGATGACGGAGAAGGGAAAAGGTTCCAGAGGTCGTTGTCTATGCCGATGAGTCCAGGGGCGACGCCGACACCCGTGACACTGATGACTCCGACGCCGCGTAAGGAAAACGTGTGGAGGAGCGTCTTCCATCCTGGTAGGAATCTTGCTACCAAAAGTATTGGTGCTGATATGTTCGACAGGCCACAACCTAACTCTCCAACTGTCTATGACTGGTACGTACATGGACGGCGTAGAAAATCTATATTGGGGTGTTATTTATTTTTAAAGTGATATTAATATTTTTTCAATCTTATTTTCATCTATTAGCTGAGGTAAATGAATTCAAATTAATCATCGCAAGGGTGACATTAACTGGATATTTACTTAACATACTGTTTCCCTATTTATAAAATTATATAACATAATGAAATTAAGAAATTTTAAAACAGAATCATCAAGGAATTTCCTATGTTTGTTCTCTAACGTTTTCTCAGCAACCAAAGGGAGGCTCAGAGACAGAAGGCAGGAAAACTTGGCTCTTTGTTTGGTAGCTGCGTGGAAATAATTCCTTTTGATCAGTAGACAAACTTGTATATGGTATAACACTAGTTGTTTCCTATTCTTGATTACTTATAATAAAAACTAAGATAACTTTACGTCAAAAAGACTAATATACTTGCTTTAAATAAGAAAAGGAAAATATAAACTTTTAATCAATTTCATGAGGATTCTGAATCTAATTTCTGGGCCTCAAAACTAAAAGTGTAATAAGATTAAGTACTTGGTTCGCATGCGATTTGCAGGCTTTACAGTGGGGAGACAAAGAGCAAGCATCGCTGAGTGAGTGGCAACTCACAGGCGACCTCGCAGAATGCTGCTCTCGTGAGCCAGGGTTGCATGTAAATACTTTCTTTTTTCTTTCAGATTTTCAATATGTTATGGTGTCTTTGTTTTCTAATGCTACTTCAATCATGTACTGTTGTTGTAGTAGGTGTTTTAAGAGCTGCCTAAAACTAAAAGTTGGCCCTTTTTTCGGTGTGTAGCGATGACCAAAATCCGGCCGCTATATTACTTAAATAAATAAATGTAATGGGCTGTTGTAATGATTTGCATAAGTATATTATTTTAATCTAATCAAAGTATTAATCTTATTAAAGTTTTTTGACAAATAATTTTATTAAAAAAACTTTCGGTTCATTATCTATGTATTTTTAGTTTTTCTTTAAGAACAATGCATCGACATTATTGAGGTGAGAGAAAAGGTAAGGGTTTCCCATTCATGGTACTGTTTCTGGACCGACCTTTGGCAGATAAAGAAGGATTATGGAAATGCTGTGATCGGGGGACCTATTTGTTACCATTAGAAATGACAAACTTTGAAAGATGGCAAGTGCGGTGATGCACAAACATCAAGTTGATTTCAAGTAATATCAAGATCCACCACTCACAACCACTAAGCTCTTAGAGGTTGCTAATTAAAGTCTTAAATTCAAAGATTTGAACATATTTAATAATTTTATGAAATTAGTTTTCATTTAAACCATTAAATGAATAGATAAAGAATACTCATAATCTTAAAAAAAAGTAGGGGGCGTGTTAATATTAATAGCACTATGATAATATAATCATGATCTAGTTTATAATTTTTAACAATTTTAGATTTAAAAAGTTTGTTGAGGTAGTTTATATTCTAGTTTGGTACGATTTCAACTTATGTACCTAAAAATCTTATAAAATACAAAAAGGAAAAAAAAGTACTTGAGGCTCTTTTATTTTCCAAAAAAAATAATGTAGTATTCAATTTATTTTTACGCCCAATATGACTCAAATTTAGAAAAATAACTCAACATGATCAGTTTACTAATCATTTTCGTCATTAATCTTTACGATGTTGATGTGTCACTTCATGATGTTGACATGATGGTCTATGATACTAACATAGTGGTCCACAGTGGTTGACATCGTAACAAATGAGTTAAATTGATTTTTTGTTGAGTTCGAGGGAGAGATTTGTTTTTTTTCAAAGTTCATGGGTTTATTTAAATTTTAAAAAAAATTAAAATTTAATATATATATATATACATATTAAATATTAAATATAAAAATTAAAATTACTAACAAATTAAAAATATACCTACATTAATCAGAATAGTTGAAAATATTATTTTTAAATTATTCATTCAATTTAGAGGCGAATTCTAATTTAAGTTTTACTTTATTTAGTAGTATAATCATATTATTCTGTTCATATATGTCAATTATAATGTGACTTTTATTTTATTTTTATTTTATAGAGACATAATTGTTATTCTTTGAAAAAAATTAAAAAGATAAATATTGGTGTGACAAAATAACTTAATCGCATGGAGCCCATAACTACCTCAACTTTACAAAATTGTATCTAACATATATTGATGGATAAGTCGATTTTTTTTTTGACAAAATGATACTGCTCTTGTTATATTCACTAAAATGCCCATCTTAATTATATGATTATTTTTTTTAGATATTTTAAAATTATATGATTTTATTGTAATTTATAAATAAATTTTTTATTTTGTAACTTTTAAATTTTATTTTATATAATTTTATAATATTTAATAAACCAATTTTATAAAATCTTAGTGAAATAGAATTAAAAAGATATTTAGAGTTTAAAATAATTAAAGGTCGATATATAAAATAAATTTTGAACAAGATGAACTAGTTTAGATTTATATAAAGGCTTAATATAAAAAAAGTGCCAAAATTATATATTTTTTCCATTTATGTGTCTAATTTTTTTCGATCAATTCAGGTGTTTAGCGTTACAAACTTAACATTTTAAGTATCCCGACTGTAATGATCGTTAAAAGTGTATGTTAAGTTACACTTGTTGACTTCTGATAATTTTAAAAATTTTATTTTTAAAAAACTTAAAAATAAAATTATATTTAAAAATGGGCTAAACTCACATAAAAATGCAGTGAAAAAAAATTCACGTCATAATACTCTCCAAGAATTAATTGTTCAAATGGTGCGAATGATACAATGTTTGTATTGTTCGCCATGCAGTCCAAACGAGCTTATAGGTTGCCATGCAGTCGCTGTGACCTTGTAGGTCGCCATGCAGGCAGCTCAAACTCCTCCGTGTTTCTGTTGCAATCACGACAAAGGTGGCCCTGCAGCATATCATGCATGCTGGCCCTGTCTCCCTCATGCAGATAGCAATAATTGATGCATCCTTCAACAACCCGTGATGGGCTGAAATAATTGCACCAGTGAAGTAGCCGGTGGATTATATATTCGATTCAAGGGTTATATTTAACAAGCATTGAGCAGAAGAAAGAAATGGAGAAGAGAGAAAGGAAATGAAGAAGAAGAAGAAGAACATCGGGTAAGGTTATTTTTAAATTAGTTTATTATTTTAAATTATTATTTTGTTAGTTTAGGATTTAGGGTAAAACAAAGATTTAGTTAATTATTTGTTAGTTTAAGTTATATTAGTTCTACTCATTTGGGAATAATTGTATTATTATTATTTAATAAAATAAAATATTTATTTAATGAATTATTATTATTAAATATTTGAAGATAATTTCATGATTGTGATAAATTTTTTGAATTATTTAATTGCATGAGGACGATCAGTGAGTCCTTTGTCATCGGGTAAAAGTCATGCCAATTGATAGAAGAAAAATTGCAACAAGCTGGATTTTACTATGTAACATTTGTGAGAGAATACAAGTTGGTCTCAGGTTTGATCAGTGCGTTGATTGAACGTTGGAGACTAAAAACACACACATTTCATTTTCCGTGTGGAGAATGTATGATAATTCTGGAGGATGTGGCAATGCAACTCGGGGTCCAAACAAATAGGATGCCGGTGGTAATGACACATGAGTACAAAAATGTGGCACAACTTTGTAGTGTGTTTCTTGGGAAAACGCCGGTAACACCAGAGTGTAAAGGGTGGCGTGTGAAGTTGTCATGGTGGAAGAATCAATTTCAGCTCCAACCAAATAGTACGAAGCAAGAAATTATATATGCAACACGAGCATATATATTGCAGTTGATTGGAGGAATTTTGATGCCGGATAAATCCGATAATTATGTTCACACTCAGTATCTCATTTTTTAAGCAATTTTGGGAATAGTAGATAATATAGCTGGGGATCGACGATATTGGCATTCTTGTATCGTTAGATGTGCAAGGCGTCATTAGTCGTGAATGATAACAATACAACAGAAATCAGTGAATGTCTGATGCTGCTACAATCATGGGCTTGGCATAGACTTTCGTTTTTTACACCGATTAGTCGGACTGCGATTGACTTTCCACTTGCCGGAAGGTAATATGAATTCTCTATTTTAATATAAAATATTTATTATTAATTACTTATTTTAATTAAAAATATTGAACTAAATGGTCATATTTTTGTTTTAATTGATATACAAATATAGGTATAAAATTGAAGGCATAGGGTTGGTGCACAATAATATTATAGAGTTTAGGCTAAAGATCGACATTAAGGGTAAAAAAGAAGTATATATAATATGTTATTATTAATTATTATTTAAATTAACTATATTATTTGATTTAAATCAATTTTATTATTATTTTAATTTTACAGTTTAATTGGAGACCATACGTAGATGCATAAATTATGGCGTGTGTACCGCACGATGTTTTTTATGGGTGTCAATATTAGTGTGATGTTACACCATTGATCAATTTTGCTTTTGTTGAGATCCAATTTGTGGATAGAGTGCTGAGGCAATTTGGCTTCCACCAACCTATTCTGCAGAGTCCATGGGATCATGACCTCCTCCAAAACTTAGATGGTCGCCGTCAGATGAATTGGGTTGAGACGTATGACCACCTCCACAGATTTGATGGTCGCCGTAAAGAAAAGGTGAATTGGGTCGAGAAGCATGCAACCTACATTAATGCTTGGAACAATAGGGCTTCATTCTTGCCAACTCTTGATCCCATTCAAAACGATGACTTTAATTTTGAGACTTCAGTTTATCTTGATTATTATTAGGATAATGGAAAGCCGTTCTTGACAACAAGGGTAGAAAGATGACAGTTTTTGAGGTTTAAAAAATGATTTGGTAAATTTGAATACTTTCTACCGAGTGAAGTGGGAGTTTATCTCAACAACCTGAAGCGGAAATAATCAATGTGGATAATAGCGCACCACAACCGTTCGTCGATGCGGGATCATTGCATCACACATTTGATGACTCTAATATCCCGGCATACGTACCAGAGTTTGCGCAGCCTAAGGCACCCATCTACTCTCCTATGTTTGAGTCGACGTATGACTTTGACCAAATAACATCTATGATGTCAAATACCAGTATTTGTCAGTCAACGTTTCCAAGTGAGATGGAATAACAAACTAGTGCAATGGTAGAGCATAGTGGTTGGAATTTATTTACAACACCAGGTGAAATGCCCCCAATAAATGAGGAGGATGGGTACCATACTCCTGAGCAACCGCAACGACCACAACACATCAGACGTCCGCCCGACATTATCATTCAACAACACCCCGACATCGACAACAATTATAAGCTCATTTGTTATATGTTTAAAATTAAATATTTAAATTGGACTATTATTTTATTTTGTAAAAATAAGTTATTATAATTTTATTATTACTAATCATTACTAAATCATTAATATCATATCATTAAATATTAATAATAAATCATTATTAATAATCATTACTAAATCATATAATTATTAAATTATTAAATATCAAATCATTAAATATCAATAATAAATCATTAGTAGTAAATCATACCAAATCATTAATATAAAACCAAATCATTAGTATAAATAATAATAAGATTAAAATATAAAGAATTCAATTAAAAATGAAATTTAATATTATTAAAAACATAAATTTGATTTAATAATTATTAGTTATAAAACATAAATTAAACTTAAATTCGAAGATTTAATAATTTAAGATAAAAAAATTACATAAATTTCTTTGCAAAAATATGTTCATTATTACAAAATCAAATATATAAATACATAAAAATACATATATGATTACTAATGAGGAGGCCTATATCTTGGTAAATTAGGAAATTTGTTTTTTTGAATGACCTTCACCCCTACATAATCCGCATCTCTTTGGTTGACCTCTCTCTATCAT